GAAACTGGTAAAATTCCCAGTCACTTAATTTTCATCTGCTTAATTTCTTTTTTCTTAATTTTCCAATATTATCTAAAATCTCCGCTGTCTCTTCTCAGGATGCAACTGCAAACGATGTCCCAAGGGACACTTTTGAAGTTCAAGGATTCCCAACTCTGTACTTCAGATCTGCAAATGATAACTTGAAGCAGTATGAAGGGAACCGAACAAAGGAGGACATTATTGACTTTATTCAGAAAAGCCGGGATAAATCTCCTCTAGACGACTTGGCTGAACCAGAATCTACCAAACCTGAAACAGTAAATTCAAATTCAGCCAAGGATGAGCTATGAAGAGGTAACGTTTTATCATCATTTTATTTCTGATCCAATGCGTAAATTTGATAGCAACATGCTTCGTTTTCTCTATGCCAGGCTTTACTTCCAAGGAGGGCGTCAACGAGCTTTCTACAGTAGCTGATTAGATTTGGTTTTGTGCAATTAGCCATGAGATCCACATAGGTGTAATGGACCGTGTTTTATATCAGCAAATTTCATATCCCTTTCAAAATTTCAGTCATCCTTTTTAAGGAATTTCATCAGTTTATTTTACTATATATTACGTTGGATAACATGGATCTTGACAATATATTGGTGAACTGGAAACACCCAAAAAATCATCAACTGGCTTTAAGAGTTGTTTCACTGGCCGTGGCCGGTGAGTTGGTGGTGGTTCTGGCCTTCTGGGCATCACGCCTTTTACCCCATTCATGAATACTCAAGTGCAGCTCCACCGCTGCAATCAAGAAATGTACAGCCTGAACTTGAGTTAGAATTATAACTCGTTCGAACCTTAAATATTTCATCAGCAGCTCAGCTCTTTGCATAACTTCAACCAAACCGTCCTCCTTCGGAGCCATAGCCTCTTCCTCCCTCATCAACTTGGGACAGCTCCACAATGCCATAGTCTCTTGTAATTTTGCATGCTTCTCATTAATCACCTCCTTCTCCTCCGTTATAGTATTCTTCTGCAATTCATGCACTTGGTGTAGCTGAGTCCTCTCATCAACTCAGGAAGTCTGGCCTCAAGACTAGAATACACAGGTGAAATGTCATGCTTGGTGTTCTCAAATGAGTTACCTCAAGAGTTTAGAGGAATATGAATCTCTAAATTACACAATTGAATTTCAAGATTGATGTCATCGAATGAGTTACAGAATTTCAAAGTGTTTAAATATGTAAAATAATAATTATATATAAAGATTCAAATCATTCTTTTAATATGTTTGGCTCCCATTTATAAATACTCAAATTGTTTTTTATTCATAATTTTCAAGGAATCGACAAATATTAGAGTAATGTTATTCATAGTTGCTCGTTG